CCCCTTAGATCCACTGCCTCTTCTGCAGCTACTGAGGAGGAAAAAAGGCACCTGGGAGAAATCTGGCCCACAAAGGTTCACAGAAGACTGCACACAGCGCCTTACTGGCAAAGAAAGAAAAAAGAACAGAGGAAAGGTAGAGACTGTAAGAGGTTAGAGGGAAAAGCAGCTATATCCTTTGAGAGCTCCCTGAGCTTTTCTCCTTTTCTCCCTGGCAAGCTTTGGGGATCTCTCACAGCTTTCAAGAAGGCAGTGGCAGCATTTTTCAGGGGGAAAAAAAAACTCATAACATCCAAGGGACACAGATTCTAACCCTCAGTGCATTTATAAAGGAAATATGATGATGATTTTGCCACAGTGAGTCTTCAAAGCATCTCCCATGTCCCCAGCTGGCTAAGCAAGGGGAGAGACTAACCAGGATCTGCTCTCCATTTCTTCACTGGTACACCCATCAACTGCTAAAGCAACACCTCTTCTGGGCTTTATTATTTAACATTTTTTAAGGCAGTACCCAGAGGCCCTCCCAGACCCCCAGTAATGTACAAACATGCAGATAGTTCCACCCCAAAGATATTTAAAGGAAAACCACAGAACATAGCAAGGGAGAGGGGACAGGCAGAGGAGAAGGAACAGAAACCACATCTTTAAATTCGGAGCAGCTGAAAGCAGAGACACACAGCTGATTAAAGGATGTGGAGAAGCATTTTAGCAAGAGAACTGTCTAATTAGCTTATCAAAGCGTAGGTTTATGCACACCTATGTGGGAACCAAACTGTGATAACAGAGTTCCCCAGTATAGCAGAGGCCTAACAGAAACTAAAGTTAAACACAGTCTGACCAGGTTGGAAGTCATTCACCACAGGTGACAGCAATGCAGATCCATCACTACCATTTTTCAGTGAAAACAAAGCAGATTGTGTGGAAACGCATCCTTATTCAGATTCATTCATTTCAGGAGAATCCTGTTGCCTGTTTTGGAGGGGTGATTAGATAGGGTGATCACAATAGAATTAAACACAAATTTCCCTGCACTCCAAGGATTAATCCAACTGTAAAGTATTCAAGAGTGGGATAAAGAGTCACAAAATAGTACTAGAATGCAGCAAAACACATATTTGCTCCTGTTTATTTCACAGTGAGAAGGAAGAGATTAGTATATCTCTCCAGGGTCTTAAACTGCTCTAAGATAAAAATGAAGTTCCTCAAATATTCCAGACAAACAGACTGCAATATACTAATGTTTAGCTTTTGCCTGGGGCTTAGAAAAGTTCCCATGCTCCATAAATCTTCAGATTAAACACTCCCTCCACCCTCCCGGAAAAAAAAAAGAAAAAGATCTGAAGTCACTGAAATTGATATGGATGCAAAGCAGAGGAAGCTTTTTCTAGAGGAATTAATCTTCCTTTTTGCTTCTCTCAAAGAGACTGATGCAGCAAAGCCAAAATCCCCACACATCCATACAGGATGATGAGGTAGTTTAGGAACCAGATAACCCAGAGTTTTAGCCTGCATATGCTGGCTGCAGGGACTCAAAGGTATCAGCTCTCAGCTCTGTCCAAAATCCACCAAAACTACCAGTAACAAGCAAGCCTAGGACCACTGTAGTTTTAAGACCTGAAGTCATTTGACAGTATGACGAAACCTCACATACCCAAAAACCACCATGAATTTTCTGAAAACTATATCTATCTGTATTTTAGCTCCAAACCTTTGTTCTCTTTTGATTTTTTTTTTAAACTTCTAGAAGAACACTAAAGCACATAAAAGTCTCTGAAAAAATTGAAACTTGGGGGGGGGGGGAAGGTAGTACATTACAAAAATTATGACCTTAACCCAACTAACCACCCCACTGGGATGTGCTGATCTAGCTGAGATGAGTTCAGGTGGTGGCACAGGATTTTACCCAAGTACCTCCACACGCTCACCAAACCACAAGTGATTATTTCTAGGGCAGATTTTAAACACACCATGGGTCTTTCATGGTCTTTACCTCACTCCTGTTCCTGTATTAAATCTTTTCCTGAGCTGCAAGGCCAAAGAAACAAAAGCACAGTGAGGTCCCTATTTTCATGCCCCATACTAAACTGTTTTCCCTACAGTCATATACATAGCTAAAATCTGCTGTATTCTTGTTATTTCCAGCATTTCTGCATCTAAAAATCATCTGAGGTAAAAGAAAGTACAGTAGCAAAATCAGCAGCTAACATTACTTTTTAAAACACAATAAATCAAATATTTCAAACCAAAACAGGTTCAGCTAAAAGAAAAAAAAAAGACATAGTTGCTTAAGCCTGAGGAGACATTGTGTTAAAACAACAATGCCTTCACTGCCTAGGAAATCATAGAATGGTTTGGGTTGGAAGGGACCTTAAAGAACATCTATTTCTAACCCCACTTTCCACTAGATCAGGTTGCTCAGAGCCCTGTCCAACCTGGCCTTGGACACTTCCAGGGATGGGGCAGCCACAGCTTCTCTGGGCAACCTGTGCCAGGGCCTCACCACCCTCACAGGGAATGATTTCTTCCTAATATTTAATATAAATACTTTCCCTTTCAGCTTAAAGCCACTAAATGTTGAGGTTTTGTAAAGACCCAGGAGAAAGGACTGCCAGCGAGAGAGGAGCCCTTTGACAAACAAACCACTCCAGGGCAGCAACTGGAAGGGCATTAGGAGGGTAAGAGAGAAGGGCACTACATACCACCCTTTTGGAGTTGAGCTTTTGTTATTTCTGTTGAAAGTAAGAATCCAGTGTGATGGGAGGCAGAGCCCCCCTGCCCCAGATCCAGTCCTGTCATTTCTGCTCCGCACAATTTTGGTTACCAACATCTGCACCTCCTTGAATGCAAAAGGGGTAATAGCACTGCACGTGAGAGCCAGCAGTGAGGACCCCTGGACTAAACCTTTTCGCTTTATGTCCCGTGGAAGGGACCACCGGAGAAAACATCTCTTGCTCTCCTGTTGTAGTGGGATTCAGTAGCTCTTAAAAGTTTCAGTTCAGCTTTGCTCTCTCCTCAAGTTCAAAAAGGCTGCACCCATTGGAAATCACCCCCTGCACTGCCTGCACCCTCCACACAACACTCAGACTGAAGGCAAGCAGTGCTAAAGGAAAACTGAGTTCCCTGGCACACTAGAGCTGCATCCTTAGGCAGCCACACTGAGTCAAGGGCTGGTCCAGCTAATCCAGCCATTCCCTGATCAAGACGCGGGCTCACACAGAGCTCATTTCCCTTTGTTTGTTCTCCCAGGCCCAACAGCAGCACACAATGAAAGGGCACATCCCCAACAGGGTCAAGTGAGCCAAGACAATAAGGAGAACGAGACAAACAGAGATCTCCCCTTTGTGGCGTTACTCTTGATTTTTCAAGCATCCACAGTTATAGAAAGAAGACTGTAAATTTGAGGGAAAATTGGAACATGGCTCTTTTCCCCATGTTTGCACATAAAAAAGAGAGAGGGGAAAGAAAGAAAAAAACCCTCTTGGTATTTATTCTTTGCTGATTTCATATTTTAGAAACCCAGACTAAAATTAAGCACGGCTAATAGGAGCTGTCAGACTTCCACCATCACACCTCTCCAGCTCCTCTCAGTGACACACACAGACAAGAAGTTTCTGGCTTTGTCCAAAAGAAAACAAATCAAGGCAGAAGTTGAAAACACAGCTGAATCTGGGAGAATTGGAAACTTCTTGCACCGGTAGATCCCCGAGAGCAGAGATTCCACTCCAGGTGACCAGATCCCAGAGCCAGTGTCCCCCAGCCAGGGCTGACAGAGGTTCTCTGCAGCCCAGCCACCACTAGAGGAGGTCAGAGTGCCACAGAGTGAAGGGGGGCGATGCTTCCCAAAGCTTTGGAAGACAAATTACAGCCTAAATGATCACGAATAGACTTTGCACTCCCTTCTTACCGTTTATATTTTCATAACTGAGGAGTCTCCTCAATTTTAATGAGGTTCAGTAGTAGCTGGGGGGGAACAACACCACACAAACACAAAAGACATCTCCAAATTTTATTTAAAACACTCCAAACCCATAGTCATCACTTCTAGTCATCATAATGATGCTAAACCAAATGTTTCAGAAAATTTTAGCTGCAGAAATCAAGAGGCTGCAAGACAGAGTTATCTATTTTTCATTTTTTAACAAAAGCTGAGTTTCCACCTTTTCTATTCCTTTCTATAATCCCCACAGAAAGTCTTCAAGACGTGAGCTAAACGCAAAATGAAAGTTGGGAAACCAATACAGCAAAGTCTGTCCCTTTAAAAGGACTTCAATTTAAACATGAAAGATAATCTTCCCATTTTTAGGACCATCTCATTATTTTGACTGGACTCAATTGCTAATTTTCAAGGGTACAGGACTGCCTATTTTGTGGGCAAGTCTCTGACATTGTCAGAACAGAAGAAAAGCTATCATTTGGAAAGACAGCAAGACTGCAGACCTCAGCCAGTTTCAGACTGCAGTGGCTGCAGTTTCAGAGTTGCGCCTTGTTTACCTATCTTAGATCCTTGAAGGAGCACAATGGTCGCTAAAGGCTACCTCTCTGAAAAGTACATTTGACTGTATCCCACTTCATACAGTGATATGCCGGAATTTAACCTCCTAGCCATGCTTTGAGCATGCTAAAATACAAGATCCCATTACCCTGAAAGACTCAAAGGCACAAGGCTCACCGTTAAGCGTTGCTGCAGCGTGGAGCTCCTCTTTGAGGACAGCTGATGGTTTCATTCTCTGCAGGCGATGCTTGGATGGAGTTCCTGAATAAGGGCTACTCCAGTCAGTCAAGAAGCACATCACAAAAACAGCTAGTCCTAGAGCTCTGTTGCAATCCCCAAAAAGGGAAAATTCCCATGGTAATGCCTTAAGAATTCAGCTGGAGAGAATGGCAGAATGTGCATTATTAAGTAACTGTCAACAGCATGAGTAGGCATTATGCATTATGCCAACTACAAGTGTAATTGTTTATGTCTATATACAAGACACACACATAGAAACACATGCACGTATACTTGTAGGGAGAACAGTTTTTACTTTTTGGCATTGCAATTCCTTCTACAATATTTTTCCACTTAGGAAACCCATATATAATCTCTCTATTCCTCTTACAGAACAAGATCTGCTTCAAACAAAAAACAAACAAAGTTTCTGTGTTGTGAAAGAAAGTCCTTTTGCAGCAAATATATCACCTAGAGTCCATAGTGTTAGACTGAAATTTCAGCAAAAAGCAAACAGTACACACTTATTCTGATACATACAGTCTACCACAGGCATTATGCTGGGGCACCAGAAAGAAAACAAATAAGATCATTGATAAGACAAAAAAAAAAAACTTTTCAAAGCATTGAATTTAAAAATTCTGCTAGAGAATAAGTTCTTCACCAGATTCCAGAGTGATTTCTCACCTGCAAAATGAATCACAGTAGCCAGAACTCAAGAATTAGGATATAGAGAGCACTACTCTTTAAAAAACATTTGGAATGCTAATAGCCAAACTAGACTACAAGTGAACTCTACTACAAGAGCATATTTTCTGGAATATGATATTTTAACACAATGGTGGCTATTTTGGAACTTTAAATAAACAGTACTACTCAACTCCACAGGCTCTAGCAAATAGCTCCAACAACTTGGATTAAACAGCATACATTTCGTGTGGCAAGAGGTACACCACATTCAGTGCTGAACTTCGCTATTTTAAAAATTAATTAGGCAATTATACACATGGGGAAACTGTTCTAGTAATTTAGCTGCTTAATCAAATCCCAGGTACCAAATTATGGACCTGATCCTGCAGTTCTTATTCAAGTCAAACTCCTATTGATGTCAGTGGGAGTTTTGCCTAATTAAAGATCAGGACATACGCGCGGTGCAAGCCTGCTTTTAAACGACAGCTTTGAATTTAGTCTTAGGAATTTGAATACGGCTCTGAATCCCAAATCGTTGCCTACAAGTTTCTCACGTGAGACTTTGGGTATATTAATATATATTTTTCCTAAGTCTGGCTCAAATTAACTTCTAGGTAAAGTCTGGAGATTTAGCTAAAGAGTCATACAAGGCCCAATGGCAAACTGACCTAGTTTTGAATTTTTTTTTAAAAAACCAATTAAATACTGTTACAAAACAAGAAGCAGGTTGTAAAAATATTGGCTACAAATCACGCTCAGCAGCACACGCTGGGTTTGTGTCATCATTTCCTCAGTGCAGTCCACACAAGCTGTCTCCAAGGCGTAGGAAGAGTATGTTCCCAAAAGGGACTGTCCCAGACAAAGATTCTGGGTAGTGTGCCCAAGTCTCTGCTGAACAAGCTGCAACACAGGTAAACAAGGAGGAGTATTTGGGATAAAGGAGGAGGAACAGTGTCCTCCCTCACGCTCTTCAGTCCCAACCACCAAAGCTGCCTTTGTGGATTGCACTTCAGGTGGGAGCAGACTGGGCTCACGGGGTTGTGCAAGAGAACTCTTCACTCCTGGCTGCTCAACCTGACGTTCCTGAGGTATCAAACCTGACGCCTTCTGAGCGGCTGTACTGACATACTCTGCTGATCTTGCCTCTTCAGATGCCTTGGTGAGGTGTCAAGGGGCACACACTGAAGCGTCACAAGCTAGGAAAAGGTAAACCAAAATCAGTCAGCAAGCAAGAAATCTGACGGAGCAGGAGATTGCTAAACACTGAAACACTGACAGTTGCCTGATTAGTATTAGATTCTTAAAGGGCCTGTCTGCCAAAAAAAAAAAAAAATGGGAATGGGCATATACCCTTCTGCTCAATGACAAGAAGAAAAGCAAAACTCCTTTTCTTTTAAGCAAAATAAAAACAACGTTGGTCAGTGAGCACTGGGTTGTCTGCACACTCACTAAGTTATGTCCTCAAAGCAGGAAGGACAAGACCTTGTGTGTGTCTGAAGATAGAAGGAAATCACAATTCTGTCTAATATATTGGAGCAATTGACCATGAAAAGGTTACATGTTAGGAAATAATTATCTCTAGACACAGCTACTGACAAGGTCAGTGTCCAAAAGGATTATTTCCTGCTCACCCAGTGCCCGCTGCCTGGAAGGGAGGACACTCCCAGCCCCACATTCCAGTGATGCTAATGGCACTTGTGCACTGAGTGGCCCAGCAGATGAAGCAGATAACCAGGAGTGAAGGGGTTAAGTGCCTGTCACAATAGAAACCTCTGGGGGCACTTGACCTTTTCACATTTTTTATTCAGGAATGAGCATTTTGTGCCTGTTTGAGGAAGTTCATCTACATTTGTCCTCATTCTTCACCCTGTTTGTGTATTGTCCCTTCCCTTCACTCAGTGTCCAAGTGTCCCATTAAGTACCAAGCAACCTCTGTTGATGAATATGAATTTAGGGCAAAGATACAGAGGGGACACAAATACTGCACATTGATCAAGTGACTTACAAAGAATTTTAACATATTCAAGGCATATGTTTCTGCTGAATAGCTTCCTACACATATAATACTCACCTGTCAGTACTTTAGTGTGAAGAGGAATAAAATCACAGATAGTGAACAGAAGCACTAGGCTAGCTGGAGAAACAGTCTCACAAGAGTATTAAGGATGTTTAAGCACTAAAAAGAAAGGCTAAATGACAGCATTGACTTTCACATGCTAAAGAGTGTGCCAAAAGAGAAGGCACAGTGATACCTGCCCTTGGTCTTTCACTCAGCAATTAGACTATGAACTTCCCCATCCCAAGAGGGAAGGTCTGCAAACCTCTCTGCCTGCAAATCAGTCAAGGAGGATGTACCCAGAATGAGTTTGTCACTGTCTGTTTCATTTAGAGGCAGATATTCTAAAAAGGTACAAGCAATATTCAAGACCTTGATCCTGCTGGGATCAAGGAGACTTTTGCATTGGCTTAAATAAGAGCGGGCTCTAGTCTCAAAGCACGTGTGTCCAATTTGTTAATGTTTTGGGTTCAAATAAAAAACAAATCTTAAGTCTTCCCTGCATGGGAGTTTCAACCACATTCTTCCACTGGGGGAGAGCATCAGGGCTTAGACAAGAAAGAGTTTCTGAATGATCTAAGTGAATGGTCCTGAGGAGACTGGCATTACTGTGAGCTTTGAACACAACTACAGAGGGTCTTTTATAGATGTACTCCAGAGGGGAGATCCTTAGATGGGTCCTTTAATGCCTGCCCCCATATGCAATCCAGATGAAATTCTTTATCAGATGGAGCCCGGATCTTGCTCCCATTAAAAGTTCTCTTACTGAATTCAGTGGGAGTAGATCTATTTGTCTTAGATGCTTACACAGTTTCCCTTATCTCAGTCCCTCTAAATAATTATCCTTCATTCTTTTGAGACTAGGGAATAACATTTTCCCCACTTTGCATACAGACAACAGCCCGACCCGGTGATGTAGTTGTGTGTCACGTGCATATCCAGGTCAGGAAAGGGTCTTAACTCCAGGTATCCCAAACATTAGACAAAAATACTATCCCCCACTCTGCCACCATCATGAAGCACTTTTTCCAAGCAAAGATGGAGAAGTCAGATTAGAGTAGACAGTTTCCTTCTCTTGTTTGGACAAGGAAGAAAAAAGCCACATAGACAACTTTCAAGTATCTCTCACTTCTTCCTTCAAATAAGTTTTTCCAACTGGTCTTCTGCCATTGGCTTCCTCAGCTACCACCGGATGAACAGGAGACAACCCTTGGCTGCTGAGACATGCTACAGCTCTAGGAAACGTCCTCGCAACTTGTACATCTCCAGTGGCAGCTTTCTAGGACTTGGCAGCCCACTCCAAGATAAAAGCAGCGCTCCAGTAAACCAGTATGTATAAAACCAGCACTCTAGCAAAATTTCAGTGACCTTCAGTTTATGTCCAGTGTCCCAGAGGTAGCAGGTAACTGCATTGTCAGCAGATTATTGTTGAAGCACACCCACAAGAGAGGTTTTGGGAGGATTCAGTACTGAGTAAGAGACAGGTCTTAGACTAGAACAAGGAGTAACTGAAGGCACCTCAAGCTCACATGGGACTGCTCCCTGGCAGTGAATACTGCAAAATCCCTGAAGTGCTGGAAGACTTTCAGAAAGATCCCTTCCCCATTCCCAAGGAACAGTTGTGCTCCTCTAGTCACCAGCCACTGACAGTCTGACCCCACATCTCCAGGGATGTGTTCCAGGACAGGGCCAGGAAGCAGGGATGAGCAGTAATACTGCAGGAAGTGGTTTGCTGCAGTGGTCTTGCACACCAGCAGAGCCACCCTATGCCATGTAAACATACCTGCATGTGCAAGACGCCACAGCAGCCTCCTGGAGAGGCAGCAGCATCCAATTCTCTGGCAGCTTCATGTCATACCTGTGTCTAAGCCATCCAGCACACTGCTGCACCTGACAGCCACTAACCCTCATTTAGCCCACGGTCACTTGGGCATTAAAAAGGAAAGCCTTTTGAAAGCAAAATCACCTTCCTGAATAGATGTCATTACTTACATTTCTGTTAGGGTTCCAACTGGGGATCACACCGGCCAGTCCCCATGCACTGAAGGTTTTCTGTGTGCAAAACCAGAGTGAGGGCTGTTGGCATCAAAGAGAACCTGGGGAAGACAGGGAGAAGAGGTCTCTTGGAGCACTCAAAGGAGAACCCAAGTTCCCCATTTCCACACTAATACCCTGTCCAATGGCTCCCTCTCCATTTCTAAGAGTACTGACCCAAATACATAAATGAAAGCAAGCATGTGTTGTTTATTTCCAAGTATGAATGGCACTGTTTCCCCTGGGCTCCATGTTTCTTGGAATTATTTGAACTGGAAACCAATCAGCCTGTATTCACTATTGATTTATTTTCTAAAAATCTCTCATCCCTAAAGTAACAGTGCCTTTCCATGTCTCAGCCTGCTGTTTAGTGACACAGTAATCTAAAAGCTATTGATCACTTGGGTCTCTACAGCCATAACATATCTTTCTAAGTGCCTTCATGTAGGACCATGTTTGCAACATAAGTACTATAAACGGCAGGGCTGCTAATGAAATCAGCAAAGATATTAACAGAGATGTAACACTTGTGTAGTAACACAGCACAGACAAGGGCCGGTGGAGGCCAGCATCAACTATGGCCATTATGATACAAACTGCATTGCTCTTTGAACACCACATGGGCTGCAAGCAAATTTCATCTAAACAGAAACCCAGGCCTGGACATGGACTGGTCAAACTTCTCCCTACCCCAGCAGTAGATTTTCAGTGCTGGAGGGACCAAGATGGTTTCATCCTGCTACAGTACTTCTAGTTGACTTCAAGTTTATCTGTAGTTCCCAACATCCTTCGTAACTTTTGCTTTTCTACATGAGCAGTCAGGGTTGGTGTAGCCCAGGACCCAGGATCTGAAGCAAGGAAGGTGTTGACACGTCACGGGAGACCTGCTGCTGCAGAAGTGCTGTGCACTCCAGCTCCTATTGCCTTGAAGGGATGTTGTCAGCAGACAGCTCCTTGGAAGTCAAGCTCCTTGCTACTTTTTTTTCCACACCCCTTGACAGTCCAGATGACAAAAAACATAAGAGCTCATAGTCCCTACATCTAAGGACAGACAGTGGAGCAGCATTACCATGGACCTGCCTCAGTGTCACACAGAAACAAACTGTGTTATTTAGACCAGGTCCTGTTTCAGCAGAAATATGAAACGCTGAATTAAGTCAAGAAAGAATTCCCCAGAGCGGACAGCCTAGTGTGTTACCCCAATTGAGACATCCCACGAGCTGCAAATCCAAATGAGAAACATGTTGCCCAACACAGAGATAATGTGTGTGCAAGTCAATAGCTATCAGCATGCACCAGTTTACCCAGTGAACTGTGCCTGCCCAGTCCTCTTCTCCAAAGAGAGCCAAGATGTGCTTATTTTACATGGCACAACTCAGCTCTGCAGCTTGGACTCTGCCCCAGGTTCTGTGGAGCAGTGTTGTCTTCACAACCACAACAAGATATTTCTCCCCAAAAATTATATCAATTATGGCAAGAGGGCAGCCCTCTCTGACATTGCTAAGCAGTGAGCCTGGAGACAGCCTGCTCAGTAATTCTTCCAGAAACAGCTTTCAGGAGACATTTGTAACCATTTAAAATGTCCCACCCAAGCAGTTTTGCACTTGTCAGTTTACCTTATGCCACAGGTTTTTAATTTAGTTGTACGGGAAGAAACTTTATATGCCTCAAATTTTATATGTTAATGCCAGATGTGAACACAATAGCATGTGTTCCCTCTCTGCTGTGCTTCATTTCTTGGGAAAGGATGCTGTAACACTGCAGCTCCAAATACTCAGACAATCAACTACCATCAGACCTGGAGCCAGAAGCCCCTCTTCCTCAGTATTTCCCCCAGTGTCCTGGGGAATTCCAACCAGCAAGACCATCTGCCTACATACTTCCCAGCCTTCTGAGCACAAAATATCCCTGGATGCAAGAGGATTAAAGACAAAAATTTGATTTGCTAATTACGAAAGATAATAAGGAAATTGCTGAAGACCATGCACTGTCTATTGCAACATGAGAATGCAATCCAGCTGCTTCAATTTATTGAGAGAGTGGAAATTATTGATCCAAGCAGCCTTTAAATTAATGCAGGTGTCAGAGTTTTTCCTACTACGTAGATGACAAATGAATGTGAAAAGCTGCAACATCTTTGGATTATCATAGTTCTGCTTTAAAACTATGAACTCCTTCGTATATTTTAGTGCTGGATTTTTTTTCCTGAAGCTAAATATTTCTGCAACTCTTATCAGTTATTAAAGTGTAACTCAATACATAATACCTGTGCTTGTCCTCCTGGACTTTGAGTACTCTTCCCAGCGCATCCCTGAGGACTAGGCATACAACTCCAAACTCCACTAATATGATAATGCATAAAAAAAATAGCATCACTTGTCAATGGCACCAAAGAGCTTGCATTTGTTAAACAATAAGCAATATTTTCTTGCTATCAGCACTGACCAAACATTGCTGTCACTGGCAGGGCCTTCTTCCCCCAAAGTCTGGACCAGAAGAGATGCCCACCCCAAGCCCTCGTCTCATTTTCATGTTGATCCTTTAGCAAGAACTGCCCCTGCACATCCAAAGGAAGCAAGATGTGTCCTGGGCACAGCCGAGGTGGGTGACCAGGCAGAGCAGACATCTCTTCTGGCCTCGCTCTGTGTCACCGGGCACCTGCTACCTGCCTCAGCCTCCAACTGCAAACTCTATAAACCAATTCATTTCTGAGCCCATCCTTAGTAGGACACTTGTGCAATTGAGAAGCACATGTGTTTGCCCCCAGCCAGCCTGCTTTGAGCACTCAGCTCGAAGCAGGGGGGAGAAGGGGCCCAGGACAGCTCGGCATGGCAGTGCAGAAGCCACGGAGGGGCCCATTTCAGTTTGATTTGTTGCGGCACTCTAGATGCAAGATGAAATCTGAGAGATGAAATCTGAGCAATTTCTTGCTTCCCTTCTTTCTGGACAGTTATTAACACTATAAAGAAGGCTGAACAGTGGGGCTTCCCAACTCCATTATTGTCAAGGCCTATTTCAAAGGCAGTGGCTGAAATGCCCAGTGCTGCCTTTGTTGATCCTGGGCTCAGGTCTCCTCCATGTTCACTTCTGTCAAACAGCAAGGCTGAGCAAATTAAAAATAAGCTTTCTCTGGAGGGATGGAGGAGGGGTAGACCAGAGGAGCAGTGCCTGAGCTGCTGTGCCCACTACTGAACTGCTGAACACAGTGCCCACTACGTTCACACTACTCTCAAAGTCCTTGTGTAAAAGTAGGGGAAGAAGAAAAGCCACAACAGATGCCAATTCTCCTGCCTGAAGTCCTGCACCTGACTTTCTAGGCACCAGTGAGAAGCCAAGCCACAGTGTGGGTTGTCAGTGGGGGCTGTAGTCTGACTAACCCTGTCAGTCAGTCTGCCATACCTGCCACCAACCATTCTGGTCACAGAGAAATACAAAGTGCACAGACTCTTTATTTTCCACCTGTAGGAGAGGGTTTATTTGTCCCCAAGACCCGTGACAAGCTTATTACAGACCGTTTGGATTCGAATCAACTTGTCAAGAAAAGAAAGTGGAGAAAACGCATTAATTAAGCAGCTTTACTCATGCAGAAAAGCTGCCAGCGTGAACATTTTAAATTACCTGGGCACACCTAGTGGATTTGCATTCTCTTGGCACAGCTTTACTCTGGCCCACAAAGCATCATCCACTCCATACTTCCATCTGAGCAACCAACAAAAGAGGCTGACAGTCTAGCACCACCTTCCCTGCCTGGGGGCTAGCGCCCTTTCCGAGGGATTTTGTGTCAGTTTATGCAGAAACCTTACTCCTGCTAGGTGCAGGGACAGGAAGTTTGGATTCTTCTATAAAACTAAAGACCAAGGCAAAAAGAGGCCTTCCAGAAACAAAGGAGGTGGAGCAGTGGCCGGCAGGGGGGTAACTGCATGCCATTGTTAAATATTAACATAAAATAAAGCAGTAGAAATGGATGTCCATCAACAGAATTAGAATCATAGAATCATAGAATCGATTGGGTTGGAAAAGACCTCCGAGATCATCGAGTCCAACCCTTGGTCCTTAGAAGGAACTAAGTGAGTTTAAGAACAAAAGGTTTACTTATTTAAATTACAGGAGATGAAAAACAGCTGGGAACGCAATTTATAGCACAAAGTACAAAGCTACAAGACTGCTAAATGTAATTATATTTCAAAGTACTTTTCCCTCTCCATTTTAAACTAAACATGTACAATTATTTTAACTAAAATAAAACTAATGACAATGTAACCTTTAGATGTTCCATCCCTTCCCTCAATTCCTTTCAAATTCAGCTCATCCGTTTACATTAACTAAAGAGTTTGATTCCCTCATCCAAATAGAGGTTGGCCTTTCAGACAGGAGACTAAATCTTGAAGAAAGAAAACCCCTATGAGCAAATTTTTTACTTTTAAAAATTACCTCTTACTATTAAATTCAAGGACTTTAGATTGTACTTTCGTAGCAAATGTGGATAGAGCCTTCCCAAATCTTTGTTTGCGAAGCCTAGCCATGATGATGATGATTTGTCTTTATCACTTCTCTGCACAAAAGGAGAGTGGAAAAGTGGCTAACTAATTAGCTTCACTGTTTGTCACATTTGATTTGTACGTTTAGTCATGGCAGGGATGCCTATCAGTAAAGTTATTTAAAGATATTCAAAATTTTGAGGTTTTTACCCTGTTTGGGAAAAAGAGCACCAGTTTCAAAGGCCAACAGGACCTAGCACTAGGATGATGTCTGTATCAAGAGCTGGGTTTGCAAAACCACCCTTTATTGTGTTTCCGCGATTACCTGCAACAAAACTCTCCAGGTGAAAACTGCCTTCACCCGAGACACTGTGTTGGTTTTCCTCTACTTCTGCAGAGCTGCTGTTTGGTTCTACTGGGCTCAGGAGCAGAAGACTCCAAATTCCAACAGGCAGGGCCTCCAATGAGTCCTGTCTATTAACGGTATTTCTGATTCCAGGTGTTTTTAACACTGAACCACACAACTGGACCCTCACCTGCAGAGCCCCCTCTGCCTCTTGAAGCTGCCCCTTGTGTCCAGCCAT